CCCTCCAGTCCTCTGGAGGGTGGCATCAGTGGTCCCAATTTTCAAAAAGGGTAGTAGAAAGGACATGGGGAATTATAGACCGGTTAGCCTTACGTCCATTGTAGGAAAAACAATGGAAAGGCTCATAATGGAGAGAGATCTAGTGATGCTAGGTAGGGAAGGGAGGCTGACAGCCACACAACACGGCTTCCGCAAAAACAGGTCCTGTCAGACAAACCTTGCGGAATTCTATGGCAAGGTTTTGAGATGGCTAGATGAAGGGGATGCAGTGGATGTGGTATACCTGGATTTCAGCAAGGCCTTTGACAAAGTGCCCCATGATATCCTGGTGGAGAAACTGAGGAGTTTTGGGATACACCAAAGCACTGTCCGGTGGATTAGGGCATGCTTGACTGACCAAAAGCAGAAGGTAGCCATTAGCGGGGAATCATCGGGATGGTGGCCAGTGACAAGCTGGGTCCCCCAGGACTCTGTCCTGGGGCCGATCCTGTTTAATTTTTTCATTAACGACATGGAAGAAGGGGTGAACAGTCTGCTGATCAAATTTGCAGAAGACACGAAAACTGGAGCAGTGGCCACAACTGAGGAGCAGGTACTCCAGATCCAAAAGGATCTGGACCGACTATGGAAGTGGGCAGGAGAAAACAGGATGGCGTTCAATGTGGATAAGTGCAAGTTCTTGCACTTGGGGCATAGGAATAGCTGTCATAAGTACAGGTTAGGTGACAAGTGGCTGGAGAGCAGCACTTGTGAAAGGGACCTCAGGGTACTGGTTGACTGCAGGCTAAACATGAGTCAGCAGTGTGATGTGGTGGTCAAAAGGTCGAACGCCACCCTTTTTTGCATAGCCAGAAGTGTGGCATCTAGAGCAAGAGAGGTATTACTACCGCTCTACATGACTCTGGTGCACCCGCAACTGGAGTATTGTGTTCAGTTTTGGGCCCCTCATTACAGAAAGGTTATAGCCAGGTTGGAGTCAGTGCAGTGTAGTGCCACAAGGTTGGTGGCTGGTTTGTAGGGGATGGGGTATGAGGCGAGACTGAGGGAACTGGGTCTCTTCAGCCTGGAGAAGAGGAGACTCAGAGGGGATATGTTGGCGACATACAGGTATGTGAGGGGATGTCACATGGAGGTGGGTAGAGACCTGTTCTCCCCTGCAGAGGAAGGCAGGACACGCTGCAACTGAGCAAAGCTCAGGGAGCCAAGGTTCAGTTTGGATGCCAGGAAGCACTTCCTGTCAGGACCCCGAGGGTGTGGAGTGAGCTTCCATGAGATGATGTTGAGGCCCCATCAGTGTGGGTGTTCAAGGATAGGCTGGATGTCTCCATGGTGGGCTTGTCGTGAGCGGAGCCGGCTGTTGCCGGAGATCAGACTAGATGGCCTGGGAGACCCCTTCTGACTCACTCTGTTTCTATTTTTCTATGTCACCTCCACTGCCAAAGTATTTTCTCCCAGTTCAGTCTAGCTCAATGTCCAAACCAAGCCAAACAAAGTAATAGGAGGAAAATTGGCATCTCTTGACAGAGGCAAAGGCTCAGGTGGGTGAAGGTATCTCTGTTTCATTGAGACCTGGAGATCCACCAGCTGAATCCATGTGTGAAACAGAACCACTTCAAGAACTGCATGTTTGTGGGCACCTGCTGACCACAGGAATGTGTCTGAAGAAGTAGAACTTTGGTGGGCTTACATTGGGCAGCAGTGGACAATGTTTCTCTGGGGCAATGAGTCCATGGGAGACTAGGAAAGGCAGACATTAGGACTGATAGCCAGGGTAGGGGGCACTCCTTCTCCTTTCAAGGTCACTTTCCCTCAGGAGTAATACTTCAGCATATGGTCACAGCCACCAAAATGGTATATCAACTCCAAAAGTCATCATGGCCACCCTGCACTCTCTCATGAACGCGTGCATGCACATATCCATGCACACACAGTCCCTTCTATTCTCCACCCTCTCCCCAATTGGCCTTTCCTGTACAGATTTCCTTACTGCCCCTCCACACTGCCATCTTCCTTGGAGAAAAAGCACTTCCTGGGAGTTTCCCCCTCCTCCATTGTCAACGGTCATCAGTGGTGGTCAAATCTGTGCTTGGACCCTGATATACAGGCATGACAGGGCTTCAGCATTTTCCCCCAGTGTCTCTAGACAACACCCCACACTTAGAATTTACATTAGATGGGGGAAAATATCCTGCTGGAGCAAAGGATGTCTTTGACCTTGGCTGTATAAGGGTGAATATGTCAATATGCCTTTGTTAAATCTAGTGGAACAAAGCTGTTGGCTTTTTGCTAGCTTGTCAGAGTGACTTGGAAAATACATTTAATCTCTCAAAGTTGCCTGGACCCCAAACAGGCCTGCAGGGCTTGGGAAATGAAAATAAAGTAGATACATCAAGAGCTGTGATGCTTCAAATCCCCTCTATTGCTACCACAGCCTGAAAAGTCCAGTTTTGCAGGCTTTCAAAGGGTCTGGATTGCCAACAAGATCCTCTGGGTGCTTCTCAACCAATTTTGAATGGCACTTTGCTTGGTAGAAATGTGGAGTACAAATAAAAGCCATGAATAATTCTTTCTTCTGGAAGCAAATTGAAATAAACAAAGCTTGAAGATAGATATTCCCTCTCACTCCTGGCCTGGTTGCATGGTAGCCTTCCCAGCACCTTGCCCAGTGTTGAAGACCCTCCTCTGATGCTGATGTGCCTCTGTCCTCATTCATAACACGATTTGGTACCACAGCAACACGTGGAACACATACGCACACACTCAGAGCATAGGCAAATCAAGTTCTGTTCCACTCAGGTGTTCATTTCTTAAATGCTAAATTTGTTCCATCTCAGTTCTACATCAACTGAACATTGATTTCATCTGAATGAAGCAGAACTATGCATTTTGTATACATTTTCAACGTGCACATTATTCTACATACTTCAGACATATGCATTTTGGTGTGTGTTTTTGAAAACTGAATTGTACACCTAAGAAATTTATGAATTTTGATGGCACACGGTGTTCTGGTTCATATTTAAGAACAGATGAATAGCCATGAAAGATCAAAGCGAGGGCCCATCTAGTCTAGCATTCTGTACATTCATATATAGAGAGAGTTGAACTCCATAGCAGCCAACTTTTCTTGGCCAGGGAGTTTCCATTCAAGACCAGCATGAGATAGCACGACTCCAGGGAACACTGAAATCCTTATGCAGCTGAATGTGTCTGGTATGACAAACTAATCTGCTTCATGAGCAGTAGCCTATTACAAAAACATAGAAACATAGAAACAGAGCGAGTCAGAAGGGACCTCCCAGGCCATCTAGTCTGACCTCCGGCACCAGCCGGCTCCACTCACGACATGCCCACCATGTGCATGTCCAGCCAACATCCACATGGTGGGCATGTGGACGTCCAGCCAACTATTGTCCAGTCTCTGCCAGGAACTGTCAAGATTTTAACCAGAAATTATTGGCTTGGTGTGTGGCTGTCCCATGGGAAAGATAAGCAATCCAAAGTGTAACTCCAAACACAATCCTGAAGTGAACACACAGCTTCTGGTCTAGAACCTCCTACTCAAGCTAACTGCTGACCATTTGTCAACCTCTGTATATTTCTCTGTATATTTTCCTATTTCCCTTTTCCTTCCTGTCTTAAATTAGGTTATTATTATTATTATTATTATTATTATTATTATTATTATTATTATTATAACATTTCTATGCCGCCCCTTGCCGAAACCTCGGGGTGGCTTACAACATGATAAAATACATTGAAATACAATAGTACATAATAAATTACCATTAAATACAAAAATACAAAAAATACATTGATTTACAAATATAAAATTAAAATTATCAGTATAAAATAAAAATATAGGAGGAGAAAGAGAAGGAAGAAGAAGTTGCCCTGGCCAGATCATATGTTTTAACAATTGAAATGATGTTTAAATAAAAAGGTCTTTACCTGGCACCGAAAAACCAGTAACGACGGAGCCAGGCGGACCTCTTTGGGGAGTGAATTCCATAGGTTGGGTGCCACCGCAGAGAAAGCCCTCCTCTGGGTACTTACTCTCCTAATTTCTTTCATGGAGGGTTCCCGGAGAAGGGACTCTCCCGCAGATCTCAAAGGGCGGTCGGGCATATACGGACGTAAGCGCTCGTTCAGGTAGCCAGGACCCAAGCCGTTTAGGGCTTTAGGGTCATCAGTTTTTCATCAGTTCACAGATTTCTCAAGTCTTAAATGCAGCTCATCCTGAACATTGATCCTTTTTTATTTTTATGTTATTTTAAAAATTTTATATTATATCCATGCATTTGATGCATTTCTGCACTCCAATATACATATTTTTGCAAGCAGTTGTCCTATTGCAATGCATATTTGAATTCCCAGTTCTCTCTAATATATGCAATGGGGAAGTCCATTGCTAAATTTGGAAATGTGTCAGCTTCAAAGGATAACTGATTTTGCTTGGGATAGTAGTTTGAAGCTATAAAAATAGGTAAGTTCATATTCAAATGGCAGCTGAATAAATTTCTCCCCTAATCATACATCCTATCTATTGGCTTCTCGGAGGTTCACAGCAATGCTACCATTTCTGTTCCCAAAACCTGGACTCCAAGTGAGAAGCTAAAATCAGAGGAAGCTGTTGTTCAATCATCTCCCTCCAAGCCCCCAATCTGTCAAGGGACTCCCTGTCTCCCTGTCCCCAACCAGCCACGATCTCTGGATTACCTCAGGAATTTATTCAGGTCACCATGCTTCATGTACTCAAACACCATGATAAGCGGGTCTCCATCACCACAGACACCATAGAACTTCACAATGTGTTCATGCTGCAGGTTAGTGAGCAGTTCTGCCTCCCTTTGGAAGTCCTTCCGGGCAGCCAAGGTTGGGTCCTTCAAAGCCTGAGAGAAAGAAGAGGATGCACAGACAAATTGGGGGAAACAATTTACTCTCTTAAAGACTTCTGCATTCGCTCGACTCCCTGCCTCATCCCGCTATTTTATGGACTATTCAGCTGGCTTTCAGTGAACACAAATGGCCATTTATCAAGTGGTAACTTATTATGGTGTGCAAATAACTCCTTGGTTGAACTGGACATTTGCTTTGCCTTATGAAGGAATGAGGAGAATGCTATCATAGCACAGTTTCCTTGTGGAGGAATGTTACACCAAATTACTGCAACATGTTAGTAGCCATGGGAGGTTACAATTCCCAGTGGTTCTGTCTCCGGTTCCTAAGATGCACTTCATGGTGGTCCTAGTGACAAATGTCCTTTATTGTAAGAGAGCTCAAGGGATCCTGGAACTCTTTTGAACTGGGAGTGTGGGTCGACCCAATTTTTGGAATGGGTTTGAGAAATAATACAGATTATTTCCTGAAGGGGAGGAAAGTAATTTGCTTGAGCCAAATCTATTCTCAATTAAGATGGGAGAGGGTTGGCTCATCCACTGCTAATGCCTATCAATGCCTATCTTGTCCATCTCTGTACAGCTTTAGTGCAAAAAGTGCATTAATTAAGGGAACAAAAAGTATGTATTAATGCAATACAAAATCCATGTATTAATACATGGAAAAATTGTACAGACCACTATTTGGTTAATCATACATATAAAAATGCATAAGTTAGCGCACACCTTAGGAAGAAAGCACAGAAAAACTACACACATCTGTAGTTTTTAAGATGGAGCTAGAGACAGAAAGATGGTGGTGGGGGGAGCGGAGAGAAAGAGAGATGGAGCTCAAATAGAATGGACAGACCTTAACCTAAAACTCCCAGCAAGCTTAATGAGACTGAAATTGCCAATCTGGTAAGGATTAATTTAAGTTCCTGGAAAAAACATTTGGAAGGCCATAAGTTGTCCACCACTAGAACAGGCTGTTCTTCCTAGTCACCCACTTTGTTTGGGTCTAATGTGAAACTGAAATTAAATTTAGATGTATTTATCAAGTAACTAAAGCCAGTTTTAGTAAGATGAGTTGGTTTTGCATATTCACACACAGCATAGCCTAATGACAACTATTTGAAGGCATGTCTAAGAAAACGGGTGTACCAGAGAGAGGGTTAGATTGAAGTGTGGATGCTCGGGTTCATTCAGAGCTATGATACCAGAAGACCACCAATTGTGAAAGCTTTACCATGGGTAGCATTTTTGTCTCTTCATCCCACCTCTTCCAGCTCCTCTGAGAGGATAGCAAGCAGCCCTCTAATAATAATAGCAGCTACTCATTTCTAGCCAGTCAGAACCCAAATCCCATGAAAGAGGGGGGAAAGGTCTCAATATCTCATTATTATAACTCCTGAAGCAATCAAATATTTTATTTGGAAGGAATGACTGTGCTGCCTTTATTCTGAAGATCAAAGCACCTGGCTATATTTTTAGGTTGTTGTTTTTGTAGATCATTAAAAAGACTACTAAAATGGGGACAGAGACAGAATTCTGTCCTCATATTTTCAAAAGGTTGCTTCCATTCTTGGTAGTATATAGCTATTTCCTGAAAAAAACAAGAATCACATATGTATCCTTATTGAAAATGGCATTTCAGTGACATCCTGCTTTGCTGTGATTGGGTAATTTTGTAAATTGTAACTGGAGAGGATTTTTAAAGAACTAGCTTAAAGTAGATTACACCTGGCTTCTGCATGTTTCCTCATGAAGACTGGGTGTCAGAGAGAAGGTGTAATTATTTTATTCCAGTAACTCTTCTTTGTGAATTTAGAAGTCAAATATTCAGCATTCATTTCATATCAGAAACCAGATGCTACTGGTTTTTGTGAGCCATCCTAACGGAGAGTTAAACATTTGAGAGTTAAGATGCAACAGTGTTTGACCACTTGAGAGCCAACATATAATAGTAAAGAGTATTTGAAAGATTACAAGTGTCTGGTAATGCACCATCACCTCCCCAGCAGTAGCAATCTGGATGACTTTCCTCCATCACTTGACTTTCCTTCAAGGTGATTAAAGAAACCCGATCTGGGGCTAACAATGCATGATGTGGCCCCTTCAAAAAGCCCCAGTGTTTGTCCAGAGCTGCAGGCTAGAAGGATGCCTCTCTGCTGCTCTGTTCCTGGAAAACCTTGCTTTTTCCAACCATTCACATTTGAAATCAGGTGCATGTGGCCAAGAAACGGGGCCTTCTCCATGCTGGGGCCTTGGTTCTGAGATTCCATCCTGATTGAGATTCATCAGATATTCTTCCCGTCATTCAATGGCTGCTAAATACTGTTTCTTTCCAGCTATATCTCCACAGGTGGCAGCACCGTTTCAGCCTGACTGTTCTGGCTACTTCAGTCCTGCTTTCATCTAGTATTAATGGATACTGTATTGTGTTCTTTTGTTGGGCTTTGTTGCATCTTTTCACTTTTATTGCAAGCTACTTCATGAAACACACAATCCCCCTCCCCAAGATCAAATGTTAACTCATTTATATAAACATGTAGTATCACTTCAGCTGGTAGGTGCAAGGCTCACATGGTTGGATGTTTTTCCATACACTAACATTATCTTCTCATAGAAAAGTAATATTTAAAGAAGTATGGCAGGATATGGACTCCGAGGGATGGTGGAGGACACGATGGCCTGAAGGAATGTTGTCCATGGGGTTTCAATGGGTTGGACATGACTTTGCCACTAGCAACAACAAAATGGCAGGATAAAAGCTTTGTCTTAATCTACTAGTGATCAATGTACAGATTGGTTTATTTCCATGGGGAGGAACATTTATCACAAGTCCTCAGTTGCATTCTAACAACCTTTGTCATTCACTTAACTCATCAACCAGGGCCCAGCTTCAGATGGCTGCAGTGGCTTCAAAGCTGATTATGAAAAGCAGGGCCTTCTCATCAGTGACCCCTTCATGATGGAATTCCCACCATGAGAAAACCCATCAAGTTCAGTATTCTGTTGGGTTTGCTTGCATTCAACCCACTGGCTTTCTTCACTTTCTCCATCCTTTTCAATTTTTTGTTGCAATTTGTGAATTGTGGGGAGGGGGAACCCTGCACAGTTTTTCCTGCATGTTTCTGCAGTATGTGCATTTTCAACCACTTTGTGAAAGCCATGCATTCCCCCTAGACAGTGTGTGCATTTCTCTTAATGCGTACATTTTCTGTGCCCTTTCCCACTAATAGTCTCACTTCCGTGCACATTCTTAAAATCAATGAACCTTCCCATAATGCTCATAAAATTGCTGATCTTGAGGTTCAGTTATCTTCTGGTTTCTGTAGAAGTTCAGAAAGTCTGAACTCAGCAAGATCACAGAAAATCACAGACTGAGTAAAAGTTTCACCCTTCCCTTGCTCTTGGTTTCTCCTGGCTTTTAGGAGCCTGGTGACAATGTTATTGTTCCATAAGGCCTGCAAAGGGGTGGTTAATGGATCATAACGCTGGCTTGAGATCTGTGCACTGATTTATCATTGAGTCGAACTAAAGAAATTCTCTTGGTGCAATCATTTTTGACACCAGGTATTATAATTTATTTTCAATGTCCTCATTGTACCATTAAGGGTTTGACATACTGTTTTATTTTTGTTTTACTGCACTGTTATCTGCTGCTTTATAGTTTTGTGATGCATGATTTTTTGTGAAATATGATATTTGGTTGAACATTGCTCTGGAGCTCTGATAGGATGAAGACACAGATATTCATATTTAAGGGTGCAAGCTGACGGGGCTGCCTGTAACCTTCTGGACTCACAAGGCTGCAGTCAACCAATCGAGGGAGGGAGGAATACGGAGGTGAGGACTGCCCTTGTGCTCAAAAACATCATGATGGGCAATTTTGGCCATCTGCTTGTTTTCCCCCTAAATGTCCAGGCAAAGAGGTGAGGAGGAGAGGATGAAGGGCCTCCTTCACCAAGGGATTTGGTGGAAGCTGCCGGTGCTTCTCCCTTCCTCCTTTTCCAACCCTCTGGGGCATGTCCTGAAGATGGTCTCCCATCTTTAGGGGTTTGACCAGCATAGGAAGAGCCATGGACTGGCTGAGAAGGCAAGAGAGCACTTCTCTGAAGGCAGAGGGCTTTTCTGAGGCTGTAAGTGGAATTCTGCTTTTCCTGTGGCCAAGCAGAGAGTGCTAACTGGTCATAGGATTCTGCCGAAATCCAATTATGGATGGATGGATGGATGGACATTCTCATTGGCTTTAAACAGGTTCCGTTGCATTTTACTATTTTATGCCAGCTCTTTCTGGCATTCTTTTGGATTGAGGTATTGAACAAATAGCAATAAACTGTAGTAATGTTATTTGCCTCCATGATCAGATTAGATTGGCAAAGGGAGAAGGGTAATGGACTAGGTTCTTAACCTCCACCTCACACACACACAGAAAGAGAGCGAGAGAGAGAGAGAGCAAGAGAGAGAGTGAGACAAGGAAAGAGAGAATATGTGAATGGTGCAGCCTGAATGGAGCAGTAGAAAGAATACAATAATTTTAAAAAGAACCATACCAAATTAAAGCCATCTTGTTTGATGGGTCTTTCAAAGTCCTGCTTTATCAAATTAGACTCTGAAAGTGAATCTAGTCATATTAGGCTGCAATCTTTGGCCAAGGTATGAAGTGCAGTCCTGAGGAATTGTATTTGATAACTGAGGCTCCCCCCCCAAAAAACAGCCCAGGCATTAAGCGCGCGCGCACACACACACACACATATCTCTGCCTTATTCCTTTACCCAGTCCCATTCAAGGCACTCCATGCTTATATTTTAATTATCACTCCTTATGGAATAGCCTGACCAGAGATATTTAGATAGATGAGAGCACACTGGGCAGCTGACAAAGCATCCATCCTCATCTCAACCTCTCAGTTACTTCTAGTCATTTAATATCTTAATGATGTTGATGTTACACCTTAAGAGGAATAGAGCTCTCCCCCTTCCTTCACACCTCTCACACATACACACACTTTCCTCCACTAGGGTCACACTAAATTCATCTCCCCTTTTCTGTGTGCATCTTAGAGAACACTGGAAAACACCTTCTGATTTAGCTCACTTTTCCAGAAGTCACAAATATATAGGAGAATAAGAGATGTTGTGGAACCCGAGGTTAACATCCCATAAAGAGGAATGGGCAGAGGTTCAAGACAGATAGAAGGAAGGACTTTTTCACACAGTACGTAGTTAAAGTTTGAAATTTGTTGCAACTACCGGATAAAGTGATGGTTGCTCACTTAAAGGAACCATGCTTGGAGGAGACGGCTATCAATAGCTGTTAGTCATGATGATTATATATCCTAGTATCAAAGGAAATATATCCCTGAGCCCCAGTTGCTGGGGAACCCAGGTGGGATGGTGCCACCAGACTTGCATTCTTGCAAGTTTCACACAGATAACTGGTTGGCCACTGAGTGAACTAGAAAGAACATGGTCTGATTCTGCATGGCTTTTTGTTTCCTTGCTTTGTTTCAGTGCTGCTCACAGGAGCACCATGTTTGTTTTATTTGTCCCCATTGTTTTCAGCCCCATGCTCAGCATTTAATCTGATGCATTGAGATGTCACCTCAAAATGCATGCCAACTCATGTCCAGGTAAGATTGTAAGCTTTTGAGGGGGTTTTGCACAAAATGTGCATGTTTTCATGCAGCTTTTTTCTAAATGTATATATTAGGTTTGTTATTTTTTTAAAAAAATATACAAATTGTCTTCATTGATTAAATCAAGTTTGAACATTTTTTCAAAGATGCACATTTTTGTACTTATACATTTCTTAATTCCTATTTCCTGCAAAGCTCATCACAAGCTTCACAAAATACATTTAAATCTGTGAGCTATGTAATGGGTAAACTCATGCAGATTACAAGCTCTAGATTTGTGCAGCTTACATTCTGTAGTTCCACTGTGTTTTGTGTTGTGTTCTGTATTCCTTCCATCCCTTCTGCATTCCAGTGGAAGAATTTAAGTAAATTAATTTCTGTTCTTAATTTTGACATTGGACCTAGGCAGCATTGAGGATTTTGTTCAGCCCCTATTGTGAAGTGAATGAGCCTGATTTGCAACTGGACTAATGCATAGATCAAACCCATTTTTTAAATAACTATCAATTGCATATTGATGCAGAAATTCACTTATGAACTTTTCTGAAAGTGACATAGGCCAGAAGAAGTGCCTAGGACTGCACCATAAGTAGCTACAGCAGCTGCCGGTTCTTTCTGAATATGTAGAGGTACACCATTACTTTGTGCATTGTGTTCAGGAAGAAGCTCATGTTATAATAACCTGAAATGCTTCTACAAGGTGTTCTTTCCCATTTTGGGAAAATAGCAATGAATGTTATTAACTTAAGACTCTTTATCCTTTCCTTTTCAGGGAGAACATCCTGCCAAAAATAAAGAATGAATTTTCAGAGGGTGCTACCCTGCCGAGCCTGCATTTACATATGAAGTAAAAGGAAAAGAAGCTTACAAACATCCAGATCAAACATGGATTCAGATGCAATCAGTGGGAAAAGTCTGTACTTTCCTGGCTTGCAAAATAATTCATGGATCAAAGCAAACACACAAAGCGTTTGAAAACATGCAGATGAAAAATGTGCTTTCGAAAAATGGTCATGTAAAAGGCAAGTTTGAGAAAGGTGACAAATACAGTTGAATCACTTGGAGAAGAATGTGCCCATTTCAAAGTGTGCAGTACATTTGGAAAAATATGCATGAACATGGGGAGGAAATTTATTTTGTCAATGAGTGGAAAATGAAATAAAATATCCTGGCAATATATGAAACACACCTAGAATTAATTTAACAAGATGTGTGCATCTCTCATTGTAATCCACAATACATGGATGGTCCCTTGGTGGATAGAGCTGCTCCAGAATGGAGAGTTCAGATAAGACACCCCAAGGAATTCATATATGCAGGCAGTTGTGTTGAGCACTCTCCCTCACCCATCACTCTCTCTCTCCGTATACCATCTGTTGCCAGGAAATTCTACTCCACCCCAGTTGCTGTGAGGATCTAAGCTCAGAGCAAGTGGGGGGGGGGGGGGTTGGGTGGGGGGGGGGGGTGGATATTATGCCATTGTCCCTGTAATCAAAAAGTACTGGTACTTCACTCCCGTGAGCCTCAGTTCCACTGTAACTGGCACATAATTCTGCATCTGCGGATGCTTCCAAATTGCTCTCAAAGTTAGGCAAAGAGACAGTTTCTCCTTTGCTGGGAAGTGCCATGTTCATATTCAGCATGACTGTCCTTGGGTTTTTACCTTCACAGCCACCAGCATCTTGTCCTTCGTGGGACTGAGGTTGTAGCACTCAGCCAGGAACACCTTCCCGAAAGCACCTTCGCCAAGCTCTCTCTTCAGAATGATGTCTCTTCTCTTAATATGCTGTACATCTGCAGACAGCAAGGAGGGATAGAAGGGAAGGAAAACATGAATTAATATAGAAACAGAAACGTAGAAAAATAGAAACTGAGTGAGTCAGAAGGGGCCTCCCAGGCCATCTAGTCCAACTAGTCGGCATCAATACAAAGAAAAGCTAACAAATAATTTCTTACCCCTCTTTATAACAGGCTCTCATTAATTTTCATTTTATACAATGTCCTTTAAAAACAGCAACTGAAAATTTGCCTTTTGTACATTCTAAGCTGTTTCTCTACATATCCTCAGCTTTGAAAAAAAGTCAAAGCTTTCTAAGTACTTGTGAAGTGCATCACTCCTTGTTAAGACCGCCTTCCAGGGCTTTGCAATTTGCAAAGCCATAGTCTTCTTCACCGAAGATCCCCAGGCTATTGAATTCACCTCCATCTGATGCTCTTCGTTTCCACAGGAGGAACCCCAATTTCCCCCACTCCAGCCCCTGCAGAATATTTAGGATGGATCTCACATGCATCACAACAAAAAACCTCACAGACATTGCAAGTGAAGAATCTCTTTGGTTATTTTCCCATGGGAGGTGGTTGAAGCCCCAGTGGTGAGGGTGTTTAAGGATAGGCTGGACATGCACATGGTGGGCATGTCATGAGTGGAGTTGTCTGGAGCCAGGGGTCAGACTAGCTGGCTCAGGAGGCCCCTTCTGACTCACACTGTTTCTGTGTTAATGCAGATCTTCAAAGTTTTAAAGATTGAAATAACAGCCTTAATCATTTCATCATAACATGTAACACTTTACCTCCATCATCCTGGTCAATTTTTTTTCTCACTGAAATATCTTCTACCTTTCCTAGTTTTCTGAGACAATTTCTTGTAAACTGCCTAGAACCTTTGGGAATGGGGTGGTATATAAAAACATAAATACTGACAATTTCTACTCCCCACACCAATGTTCATGAGTCCCACTGCATCCTATGGCCCCATTTTTAAATTGTGTTTAGAAATGCAGATTAAGAACCTGAGCAGAAAGATGGATGTAAAGATGGATTTGCACAAAGTCAGTCCCCATGAATGTCTCCTGGCACACAAGCTCATGATGACCTTCTGCCCTGCCTGGTACAGCAGTGGCACAGAAGAGCAGCACCACAAATGCACATGGGTGACTGACTTTCTTCCACTCTGGTATACTGCTGGCAGTAGTGGGTGGGGAAGGTTTCCAGTTGTGCCACTGGGGGTCTACGAGCTTGCACAGACCTTCTCTTGGCTGAGCTCACTTTGCAGGACCAGGCTGAGAACAAGAGCCAATCTGTAGATCCTGGAGGGACAGTTCTCAAGAAAGTTCATCCAAACTGTAGTGTGGACCCTCAGAAGGCATATGATTATGCATCTCCTTCAGCCTGACTCTGGTGTAGTTCCAAATAAGGCATCCCCCACACCTAAAAAGCACACCCCCTAGAAAGATCATCATACCCGTGAGTACCATTTAGTATTACACACAGGGTGCATATGTCTTGGTGGCTCCTGAAATGGGGTATTCTCATACAGAGCAAAGAAATGCCAGCTTACTGCAGCAAGATTTCCCCCTTAATACCATGTTGATCAAAAGCAACTCATCTTCATTAGGGGGAGGATGGATGTGGTCTGATGGAGAAACCCAGGGACAGTACAACTTATGAAAAAGGCAAAGGGTTGGAGATAGAAAACGTCATAGTGGCTTTCAGACAATTAAGCCTGCTAATTAGAAGATTATGGGCTGGCATAGAAGCTACCAAGACTAGGCATCTTTGCTTATTTGGGGAGAGTGATGGTGACAGTTTTCATAAATAGTGCTCCTTGTAATTAATGGAGTTTCCTCCAAGAATCCTCACTGACCTTTCTCATTATTTTTAATAGGCTTCTTTCTTTGTTTAGGAAAAAGCATAACCCCAATATTATTAGCAATATTAAGAACTGGTAGGCAGAATGTGGCTGAGATGAAATGTGGAAGGCAGAACTGGTAAGGAGAATGTGGCTGTGGAAATCTTGATAGCATTTCTATTCCTATCTGTTTAGCAAATGATCCAGCTATCGGTATACAGGCAGTTTTGTCGTGTTTGCACTGCATCATGGATTTTGTAGTTTTCATGATGTCTCATGACAACTGCACACTTTTGCATTTCAAGAAACATGGCTTTCAGTAAATCTTCAGGGCATCACAGAACAGTGTCAGTCTCTAATTTACTAGTTGCTATTTTTGTGAATGCAAAGGGTTTGTGTGTGTCAATGTATGGCTGTGAAAGTTGGACCATAAGGAAGGCTGAGTGCCGAAGAATTGGGGCCTTTGAATTGTGGTGCTGGAAAAGACTCCTGCAAGTCTCTTGGACTGCAAGGAGATCAAACCAGTCAGTCTTGGAGGAGAAACCCTGACTGCTCTTTGCAGATACTGAAGATGAAACTCAAATACTTTGGCCACCTAATGAGAAGGAAGGACTCCCTGGAGAAGAGCCTAATGCTGGGAACAGTAGATGGCAAAAGAAGAAGGGGATGGTAGAGAATGAGGTGGCTAGATGGAGTCCCTGAAGCAGTGGGCGTGAGCTTAAGTGGGCTCTGGGGGATGGTGGAGGACAGGAGAGCCTGGAGGAATGTTGTCCATGGGGTCACGATGGGTCGGACACGACTTTGCGACTAACAACAACAACATGTGTCTATGTGCAGAGGGAAGTCATACAGTCACTCAACCTGACATCTCCCAAACATGTGATCCTTTATTTCTGTAGATTTTAGAATCATTAAGAATCAGAGAAGTCTATTGTGCATAGCATCTGTTGTATCAATGTGATAGTTTTATGAAAGTTTCACATTCTGTGCACATAATTGAAAAGGAAAAGTTTTTTAATCTGGTTTCCTCATATGAAATAAATAAGTAAATCAAAAAATCTGCCTTACATTGAACCCAAACTGCTGTAAGAAGGGAGTCATGTTTTCCATTCCTAAATGGTAATATTTGAGTTGCTTATGATCTTCATACAGACCCACTACTTAGTCTTTCTGCGGCCATGATTTGTCAAATTATAGGCCAACAGGTATGCAAACTGGTGTGGACCTGGGATTCATTGAAGTTTTGGTGTAAAATGTACAGAAGCCACCAGATTGCTACTCATGCCCATTTCTGAACCTGATGGACCTACTTGGCTACAAAAGCACCCTGTGGTGTTGGATGAAAAATGATGAAGCAGAAATTTCTAACTATTCCAACTCCAAATCAGATTAAACTAATATGAAAATTCAGAGGGAGCAGGAAATGGCTAAGTCCCTTCTGTCTCAGCTTTATTTTAGCCCACACTGCAGAACTGTGCTCAAATTTGAAGCAGTTGTGGTTCTAGTTTAGTTCAACAATGGATGTTTTGCTTGCCTCTGATTTATGTGTGTGGCACAACTCAGTGTCTGGAGAATGGTGGTGTTCTTTTAGGCTGCAGTCCATTTTATCAGCCTGCTGCAGAAGGAGGCAAGGGAAACAGCTCTCCTAACAATATAGGTTCTTCCTCTTCTTAAGCGGCTCCTATTTACCCTTGAATGGTAGACACAACATAAAATAAAATAATACTTCTTGTAACTGAAAGATGTGATGCCTGAGTTTTCTTCCGTCCTCCCTATTCCTTTTTTGTTTTCTTCATTTCCCTTACAATGCTGAGTGGAGGGACTGTGTCCCTGGAGTCTTTAAAATGTTCGTCAAGCTGCTCTGGGCGACATTTTGATGGAAAAGCAGGGTAACAATGGGTGAAGAAATATCCAGACGATCACTTGCAGAACACACAGTTCAAGTCAACAGAGAGGGATGGACCATGCTACTCAGGTAGTTCAGCAGATACTTCTGTTTAAGTCCAGTCAGAAATATTTTCCTGGAACAGATGCCGGAGGGGTGGGTGTGGTAGACCAGAATTTTGCCTTGAGGATAGGGACCATAGAAGAAGTGTCAGAACATCAATAGAAGTAACCTTCTAAATCTTCAATCAAACCATTAATAAAATTACTTTTACCTTTATAAATATAATGTATTAATTTTACTTTTATAAATGTAATGACAAAATAAGGGACTAGCAGTCAATATTGTGACTCTTGGGAATGTATGGATTTTGCTGAATTTGTTCCGTCTGTTTCACAGATTGTCGGACATCTTTTGTTCTGTCATCTGCTCATTGATGGAATCCCGATTTTTGCAAGGGAACTGGTCTGAAGATGCACTCTTGCACTGATTCATACTTCTGTTAATTTGTGCAACCTCTCCCCCCCAAAAAAGAGAAAAAATAATCCAATTCTGAAAAGTCATGGATGTCCCATGGAGTTTGCCTGAAACTGCATTGCTAAAGTAGTATGGTCTCAAACCAAAAGTCTGACTAGCAGAGCAAAAACTGTGGCTCCTCTCTGCACAATAAAAGAGAGGAAACTCTCTGGTGACAACCAGTTGCCATTGCTCTCTTCAAGTTCCAGGAAAACGCTTTGTCTTGACCTAAGATTTAGCATGGTCAGAAGCTTTTTGGAGAGGAATGATGGCAGACAGAGACCTTGGAGTTCTCTCTCTCTCCTATTTATTTTTAATCTGGAGGGAGTATGGAAAGAAGAAAAGTGTACACCTGGCTTTGTGTTGAAATACTTCTCCCACTCCCTAAAAATACCCCTGCCAAAATGGCCATCCCATTTCTCTGCTTCAAGATAGGGTAGCAAAATGGGAAGGGGATTTCACCCGAGCCTACCTTCAATATTCCATTGAAGTGAAATCTGATGGCCACCAGCCTACAGATGCCCCAAGATTTCCAGAACTCAACAGTCAAACTTGAAAATAAGCCCCAGTGCAGTTTTGCATGAAAATAAAGGTAAGTAGGGTACCTCCCCCACCACACACACAGGAGTGCGGAGAGGGAGATCAGCATCATGAGCTCAATATAAATGCCATTATTCCAGCCTTCAACAGTTCTCAGATCGTTCATCTTCAGGGCTAATCATGAATAACAAGGCTGCCACCCCACTGATTCTGCTGCAAGGGCAC